CTCTCTCTCTCTCTCTCTCTCTCTCTCTCTCTCTCTCTCTCTCTCTCTCTTTCGCAATATGCCGGCGCCATGTTACCGGAAAGATCGAGAAGTGGAAGCGCGAAAAGTTTCCGAATTTATGAGCAGCAGAGCGACCGGAATCGAAGGGAGTCACGAGAGTTCGCAGAGAATGGAAACGAGTGAAACAACTTTCTTGCTAGCTGTGCGCGAGTTGACGTCGGATTATTCGCGCCACGCGTTACCGCGCGTGCTTTGTTGCTTTTGCACCGCGCCACTTTCACTTTATTTGTTAATCTCATGTTTAGATGTATTTCGCAAGCTGCCCGGTGTTAACGTTAAAAATGCAAACGTCGCCGTTAAGAACATCTCCTTTTTTTCCCTCGCAACGATTTCTCTTATTATTGCGCCTTGGTGTTTTCGCGATACGAACAATGGAAGCCGCGCGCACCCCGTTGGCCATATTTCGTGCAATTCTTTGAAAAGTTCCGCGTATCGTTGCTTTCCGCGTCGTTCTCCACGGAGGCTGGAACTTTTCCGTGCAACTTATATTCGAGCCTTCGGACGGTACGCTCTTAGGAGAACAATCGAGAGGCGGATATTAACGATTGAACGCAATGCACACGGTATGCGGTTGGCAGTTTAGTGTCGAAGTATCGAAATATTTTCTTTGTACTTTCTCTCTCTCTTCCCCTTTTTCTTTCGCGTACGCGCGAAATTGTGCTCTATGGAATTTTGTGCGATTCTCGTCGCGTCAATCGCGACTCGACTCTATATATCACGCGAAGAGACGAAAGCCGATCTGCTACGAGAACAACGAGATAAGGGGTCACATGAGAGGCACTCTACCTTCTTTCGCTTGAACGTATCCGTGCACTTCGCAGTAACTTCCGGCCGGACCAGCCGCTCCAGGAGTGTCCAACGTGAAGAGAGTGTTGGCTGAAGAGCTGACACCGTCTTCGGACGTCTGTAGTAGGCTGGTAGCCTGCGACAGGGTGCGTTGCTGGTGATGTTGATGATGATGATGATGGTACTGTTGCTGCTGCTGCTGCTGCTGCAGCTGCAGCTGCATTTGCTGCTGATGCTGCTGCTGTTGTTGGGCGAGCATCTCCTCGTGCCGACATTTCGCGCAACGACGCATCTCAGAGCGGACACGCAGCAGCCAAACCATGCCGAAAAGCGCCATAGCAACCTCGAGACCCGCTGACCTCGATGGATGCTTCATGCTCGCGGGGTCAAGGTCATCGAGGCTCCGGGAGCCAGCGCGACACATATCACCGACTTCAGCGTGGATTTACCTTCCTCTCCTCACTTCTCTCACTCTTCTCTCTCTCTCTCTCTCTCTCTCTCTCTCTCTCTCTCTCTCTTTCTCTCTTTCTCTCTGACTTTTTCCACGCGCTCCTCTCTCTTCTTCTTTGTCTAGTTCTTCTTTGACTTAACGCGTGCTTGACTATACAAAGATACAATGAGGGATTTGTAACATGAGGAGACGCGTGCGTTTTTAAGCCACGTCATCGACGTCCTCCTTGATGATTCTCAGCGTGCTATTTGCGGCGCGCAGGATTATTAGGCTTTCAGTGGCAGTGAATTCTTGACTATCCCCGAGAAAATTCGATTACCACGTCTGTTCTAGATCCGGATCGGAATCTCGACTAATTTCGTAGTCTATCGGGTATTGTTAATTATCACTTCGCAGTTCCTCGAGTGAAATTTCTATTCCAGTCGGCTGCTCCCGATGTTTGTCGTCAATTATCCTTCTCCGCGACCTAGATTCGCGACGTCGACGTTGTCGCTATAGCGAGACAATCCAATTCGACGTTTATTCTTCCATGACGACTGGGAGAATCGAATTGGAGATGGACCGGTCACATCTCATCAGTTTTCGAATCCTCTTTACGCGAACCTTACTCTCTTTCTCGCTATATCATTTCGCCAGAATACAAAAAGCGACATTACCGACTGACACTTGATATTTTTCACGGACAATTGATCAGGACAAAACTGTCTCGCAATTACGTTCGAAGAGCGTTACAGGACGTACGGAATGTATAGCTAGAGGTTACGAAAGCCTTCTTTCTTCTGGCGTTTTCAAGACGTATGGAACTCGATTCACGGTCGGTTGAAAATCGAATGGACGAGTAAGGCAGCGGACTGTTCGATAACCCGTCGAGGGGATGTACTCGGTGGCGATGCTCTATAAAATAGTGCGCTCGTGCGAAGATAATGAATCGATCGGTAGGAGTCTCGTGTCTTCGCGCGAAGGAACTATGTTTCATCGCACCCTGGACCACCCGATACGTTCGACGGGACGAAGATGCGAGATCATCGAGAATAATAACCTCGAGGATCTGCTGCGTTACGAACGCAGATGCAGGCCTCTCGTGTGATCAGTCCTTCCGCGAATTGGCACGAATGATATTGGACGCTTCGTGTCGACTTACAATTTATTCGATTCTCTTCTTCGCTGCGCGCGTTCAATTAAACGACGCTTATCCTCTTCCGCTCTAAAGGGGGTCCCACGTGACTCCTAATTTACAATCCGCCGGTTCACGGTGGGGCAAGTTCTTCGAGCTTCCTCGATCTCCGGGCTCGCGTAGAAGTCCGGAGCGAATCCAAGGCACCGTTCTTTTCGTATCGAGACGACAAGAAAGGACGAAGATCGATACAGCCTTAATACGGAAGCTAAGCGATTGGTCCCGGGCGCTCCGACGATACTTCTATAAAAGTACAAAAGAGTACGTCCCCGAGTTGTCGAACGTGGACCCCATATTTCCCAGGAACTATCCCGCGATCATCATCGCCCGCGACGTGGTTACGCTCCGCTACGACTTTCAACGACCGAGTTCCGTTCCCAGATTACGTCCCCGGCGACTTCCGCCTCTGTTCCCCCTGGCAGATTCTTCGCAGCCCATCGAGCTACACTGTACTGACGTTCACTCCGAAGTGCCGCACTGGAAACACGATTCCGTCCCATCGGGACGGCACTTCCGGTCGCGGCTGTCTCACCCCTCACGCATGAGTGGCTTTCGCTCGGTCTTCATCCCCGTCGACGGTTGGTAGAGGAGGACAGGTGCCGAGGTGGAAGAGCGTTCGATAAACAGTCCAACCCCTCTCTCCGCTCGTGTTTCGCTCTCTATGAGAGGCTTCGATCGACGCCGTTTTCTCACAGATTACTCGATGTTTGCGAGCAAGTGCACGAGGGAGCGAGCTAGCTTCTGGCCGGGGATCAGCTGCGGCAGGAGGACGGTGGGAGTTGTTTTTCCTTTCGAGATCCCATCACGAATAAATCGCGAAAAAGAACCAGAAAAAACAGAATAGAAAAAAAAAAGACAAGATTCGTTCCAGAGTCGTGGCGGACGTTCTTGGACAAGTGGATCCCTCTTGCGGTCGAATGATTGGAGGGGTGGCAAGAGGGGGGATTTAGCTGAAACGGGGACCCGATGCGGAGTTGAGTGACTGCTCGGATTCGACCAGCCAACGGCGCGCTATCAATTCCGGTCGAGCCTGAGGCTGACTGAATGGGTTCACTGCTGTCAATCTGTCGGCGCGCGGTACCTTTGATAGCTCGTCTTCGATGATGATCCCCCTTCGATGGACAATAGGAAGACAATATTAATTCCACCCTCTATCTCGCCTAATCGGCACGAAATTCTATGCAAAAATTGGGAACTGGAAATTCTTCCCTAGACTGTATCAGTCTCCCGACTTCGATATCCCTCGCCGCGACTCGTGTCCGCAATCCTCTCGACAGAATCGATTAGTGGCCGGAACTTTCGCGGCGCTGACGCACCTCTTCAGATAATGATATTTGTCGTTGAGCGTTCCATCGAGATGGCGAGATTCTTTCCGGCGACGAAAGACCCTTCCAGGACGAGGATCACGCGCGTCTCAGCCGCGAGCTCTCCGCTCTGCACGCATGAGTGGATGAGGCGTTACTCGGGGGATACGGTCGGGCTTGATATCCGGCGATAACGTGGCTCTTCGTACGTGGCAAGGAGTTTCGAGGAGTTTGCGGATAGGAAGCGTTCGCAAGGAAGGCTCGATAAGTGACCGGTTTCTTTTTCTTCAGGCCGTCGGTTGGTCGGTCGGTCGATCGGTCGGTCGGTCGGTCGGTCGGTCGGACGGGCGGACGGGCGGACTTTGATACTTCCTTTGGAAGGCTCCAGCCTCAGATTTCCGGCCGATACCTCTCCATTCTGTCCTGGAAAAGTCGTGGCAGAAACCTTCGAGAGTTAGCGATGCGAGAAGCGCGGTCGATTTCGCTCGCGAATTCGATGCTCGCTCGAGGAGAATTTTTCAATGGTTCCTTTCTCGACGACGGCTCCCTGAATAGCGAATGATCAATCCTCCCGCGGAATGATCGATACTTTGTTACGCCGTATTTATTCGCGCGCGCGGTTTACGAAGCTGCTGGTAGTCACCGGTGGAGGTCTCGTTTCATGCAAATCTCCAGTTAAAAGTTACCAAATAATTATGCAAACATGCTATTCATGCGCTGCATCCTACGAAGAGACAATAAATATTCTCTGCTTGCTTCTTCGTATTCCGTTCCTTCCGGGGATCATCCACACGAAGAAAATATTATAATAAAAATCATGCTAAAATTATATTTCTTTTTGCAATGTCTTTTGTTGAGCTGGACTGTATTGAAATTGTTGAAATTACTGTGAAAATAGCGAATGCTTGACTACTTAATTGATATATGCGATATAGAAAAATTCAAATAATCACAATAATTTTGTAATAAAATGTCAAACGCGCAAAACATCCTTAAACAGACATGTGGTAATTCCGGCCATAATAATTCCGTATGGTCCAAAGTTAAAAAAAATTTGTTGTAATCTTTACTATAACATTTTCTCTTGTGGAGCTCGTAACCTTTCTTATCGGGTGTACACAAACAAAATCGCGACGCAACTGCGCTAAGTGTGCAACGTTTATAAATAACAATTTGAGAAACATAAATACAACTTTTACGACCGATGTGGTGCAGCCTCCATCGATCACGTCGATAATTTAGCGCGATACACGTCGACGGTGTAACGACAATGTAGTAAAATAGTCCACCGCTCTGGCGGGATCGTAAATACAGATCGTGCTCAATAAAATAGGAACGTCAGTAAAGTTTCAGAGATTGACAGAGAGAGAGAGAGA